ATATAAAATACATAAAGATAAAAATTTGAATACATATCTTTATAAATAACTAATTTTACTAAAATTGTGTATCGTTCCTGAGGATAACGATTTGAAAAGTCGCTTCTTATATTTGTTACTAGATGGCTTCCCAACATTTCTTATTCGCAATGTTTTCAAGGTTTTTTTCAACTAAATTTTCTTTTAATAATTAATAAACTTGTAAAAAGTTGTTACACTTTACGATACAATATATTTTATAAATATGACTATAAGCAAATGGACTATGTTACCATTTTTGTACATTTGCAAATTGTACAGAGACTTCAAATGATACATTTACATAGACAGTGGTTAGTGTCATTTTATAAGCGTGGTTTTCATTTGCTTATAAAGAATGAATATTAAAAATTTAACGAATGTTTTTTATAAATCGACGAATGATTCAAATTAATGCGGATGTTAAAAAGTTATTTTTGACAGAGAATGATAGAAAATTGTAGGAGCATTAATATATAACACTCTCTCTTGTAACGTATAGGAAGAAAAAAAGCAATAAAAATAAAAATATGTTAAACATGAAATATTACGAAACGTACATAATATTAATGCAAAAATTGGAAAATCTACATCATTTAAAACATCTACCGAACTAGCCACTAGCCACGGCAAAAATGACGGGTTTAGTTTTCGTGCGGACTTTAAGTAGGCACCTCGCGTATTCCCACTACATACTCCGCCATACTAGTAGTGGGGTACCCCACCGTGATGCATTAAAAAGACTATATAGACCAGAATAATTCTATCATGCACTATTGTTCAATTCTTAATTTACGACATATTTTTGCATATGGACATTAAATAATATTTTTAACATTAATTTGATTTACAATTTTATCATTAACATACCTAACGTTTGATTCTTTTGCTTTGTATTCCATGCAGTACTTATATCGCTACATTTTATCGTTTTTTTTTAAGTATACGAAATAGAAAGGTATTGTTGTATCTAAATATTCCTTAAGCATTGTAAAATTCTTTAAGTATTGTCTCTATAAATTCAATATTCTGAATTTTCGAATTAATACCATAACAATTGTTGCAGAGTACTTCTATCTATACACCTGTTACATTATTAAATGTTCACGAATAAGAAACAGATGATTGTTATACGTTTATCACGTAAAGGACAAAGATGTCTTTCTTTTGTACGGCGATAGCATTGAACATACAAGGAAGTCAGAAATTTGCAGGTGTTTTTCTTCGACAATAAGTCGTTTAATATTTACACTTGCAAAACGCATTAAATAAATACATGAAACTACCACATGCTATTGCACGTACTAAATGAAATCTGTCATATCTCCCAGATATAATTAAAGAATTGTAAAAAGAAAATATATTTAAGATACTCGAGACTGATAAAAATGCACGTACCCTGGCAAAGACACGTGATCAAAGGCAAATTTTCCTGCAGCTCTTATCTATGCTTCTCTTTTTAAAGAAATCTGATCTTTTCACTACTGAAACCTTTCATTTCAACAGTTGCATTCACACGTTAATCTATACAATAGAATCTCTTTATAGTAACATTTTTCTTATGCTCCCGCTACAAAATCCTACCCATCGATCAAAAACGTTTTACGACGAAAAATTTGTTTAAAACAATAACAACCAGAAAATATTCGGTGCAAATGCTAAATCTCGAGCATATGAGCACAATTCTATTCGAACAATGATCTAGATAAAAATTCATCTGGATAGCTCGCAGCACCATGGGCAGTTGTGGTGGGGATGATGTTGTTAGGGAGATTGCTGCTCGTGGCCGATACCAGAGGTCTGTTCGCGTTCCCGTTCAGTCGGTGCGTGCTAGCGGCTCGTGTTGCGTGTTCCTAGTTCACTTCTTTCCCCGTCGTCGTCCTCGACACACGACCTGCCGCTTCATTCTTCTTCATGCGTGTTTCGTTCACGGTTCGTCCTGTACGATCTTCAAATACCCCGTCAAAATATCACGGTGTGACGTCGAGAAGTGTCGGAGGAGACTCTGTGCTTCCGGGCACCCGATATCGATCCCTGGGACAACGATCGCGAGTCGAGAGGTAGGTTCGATTCTGCAGCAGGTGCCACGCCAGTCGAGAAACACGTGGACCAGTCGATCGCTTGTTGACAGCAGTTTCCTCTTCGGTACATCGTGTACCTATATGACTCGTCAAATTTCGCTCGTGGTTGATGGGTATGATAGATGGTGCGTCGGTCAATAGGTCGCGGCATGATGGGTATCGGGAAAGTCGAACAGTGTGAAAATCCTCTTTAACGATAGAATTACCGACTCGTTTCGCGGGTTTTAGAAGGAGATGCACCGATTGGTCGCTAGCAGCGTGGCAATGTGCGTTACTTCTTTCGATTTCGATTGTGTTCTTGCAACTGAATGTTATCATAGTAAATGAAGAAAGGTACGTACTGTTCATTTGTCAAGAATATTTTATTAATAGGATTTTCGAGGGAAAAATGTCGATAAACGAAAAAGTTGAAGAAGAACAGTAGGATGGTAAACGGTGAGTGAGGGATTGTGAACGACGCGAATTAGGCATGCAATCGTGTCAATGATTTTAAGAAGAATCTGCGTGAAAAAGAGGTTAGATTCGGGACTTCGTTATCGCGTCGCGACCTTATGTAATATTTATATTTTTTTTTATTTTTAGAACGCGGTGCTAGGCCCAGACGATCATAAATTTTCTTCGTACCATTGACATTGACAATCCTGCCCGGTGTGGCGCGATACCGGCGGATCATTTTACCGAAAGTTCATTACTGAAATTTGATATTTTTTCGCTGCACGTCCTGCACTATTTTTTTTCCAAATATTCTACGCAAAATAGTTCGTATACAGTATAGTACGCTGCTTGGTATTTCTTCAATGAAATCTTCGACAGTGAAATCGTTTATTTCGAAAGAGTGATAGGATTTTCGAAACGTTTTTTGTCCTAAGGTCCTTACATACTCGTGGTTACTTTTGCAAATAAGAAAATTAATAAATATTTCAATTGCGTTCACTTTATAGAAAACACAAAAGTTTCTGTCACGATAATAATTAGGTTCTATTTTCAATCCTCCTTTGTCTAGTTAATAGATACATTTCTTTTTCGTTTGGCAGTATTGACATTTTTCTTTAAAAAGTTCGTTTGAAACACACTCGAAGAATTAAGAAATTTTCTAAAGTAAATAGCAAAATGTAACATCTCTCACCACGTGTTTCTCGGCATTGTGTAAACAATACCACTAAATTGACATTGCCAATGTTTACACTGCTTAATCCAATACAGAGATTTTCAAAAACACTCGTTTAGTGTAAAGAACATAATAGAGAACATTCTAAAGACAATTCTCGATCTGTGCTTCATTCAAGAACATACTCGAAAACACAAACTTACAGATCACTTCTTTCAATTCGAGACGATTCATCGTACTTTTCTTTCATTAAGAAAACATTGATTTCACGATCAACAAAAAATACAATTTATTCCCTATTTTTCACGATCAACGAAACATCTGAAAGCTAATTTTTTCATTCAAGATATTTCGTCTGTCATCAAGTTTACAAATTTACCGTTCGTTATTGGGTAATAAAATTTTATAGCAGTCATGTTCGCGAGACGTTAGAAGAAGCCAAGGTTGCACACAGAATCGATCCATCTTTTTTTTTATTTAGATGTTTCTTGGTATCCCGAAAACTAAAGGGTATGGTTGACTTAAGTCTGTTTTCGTTCACGTTATTTTCGTGCTGGTATTCCTCGTGCGTACGGCGTTTCTGTAAACTCTCAATTTATTTTCTTTTTTTGTGTTTTTCTAAATTTTGCCATCGCCACGAGTTGTCTGCCACGTTAAAGGAAAGGTCAACGATGATACGACACGCGAAAACCAGATATAACAGTTTATCGCTCATTCAGTAAAATTTTTGATTGCGAATTGAAAAAGTCCAGTTTTCAATTCGTGCGACTTTTGCCGACGTTTCAACTGAAATTTCGTTATACGATCAAATTTTAGTTTGTATACAGTCACGCGTGTCTCCTTGAACGATACATCGAAATAATAACAGTGCGAGGGAAGGTGATTTTATACCAAGAAAAATATTTCCTTCAGTCGAGCCATTTTTTCTTTTGAAAATAGTGTACTTTCTTCGAAGATACTTAAAGGTTTGCAGTTTAACCCCTTAACGTATGATTTCTTTTCTGACTATGCATCTAAGCGTCAGCCATTTAATGTTCCAGTACTGTATCATGTAACAAAAGCTAATCTGTTACAGATTAATTACATTTAGGAATTCTTCATCTTAGAAATTAAAACGAAAGTTAGGATTACAATGAATTCTTCTCGCTAATATAACTATTTTTCTCACATCTTCACCAGAATCTCTGTCACGAGTCTGATACGTTATTGTAGGTTAAAGGGTTAATCTATTATTCGTTGTAACAAAATTTATAAAAGACTCAATTGTAATTATATTTAAAAGTTGCTGTTAAGGTTAATAATTTGAACAACTTTTGTTCACACTTTTCTTCTTCATTTCCTAACATTTGTGCAACACGTTTATATTGAATATTAACGGTAGTAAATTCTTGTCATGTCTAATTTATTTTCTGACGAAAGTCTGACACAACACGAACTTGATTA